TTTCTGTGGCAATATCTATAGGTGCTGTTTATGGGTGACATATCCTGCCATGGGCAGAATAAAACATGCCTCTTCCCACAGGATTTGTGAGCCAAAGAAACAAGCCTGGAGATTTTTTTTGATTTTTTTTTTCTAGCACCTTTCCACTTCAGTCCGACCAGAAGGTCCAGATTTATGCTTTCACACTTTGGATCCTCTCAGGACAACAAGCAGTTCCCTTCCCACCTCCACCGACAATTCTGCATCAAAATAGGTTAATTTCTGCTCTATCCCTCTGTCTCTTCACCCCCTGCCTGTAATAGCTCAGCATGGAAACAATACCTGTACTTAACACGTTCTCAGTGCTGTCTGATCCCTTTTCCCCTACTAATTTGAGTTCAGAATAGATCAATATATATATTAAAAGAAAAAAGACCAGACACATCCACTGCAGCTGTGAAAACAGGCAAACAAAGCCAGCCTTTCTGGAGGAAAACCACATTTCTCTCTTTTATGCAATAAACCAGCAAAATGCTGCCCTGTGCTAAAATCAATACCCAGAGAGATACCCTTATATTGTGATTGCCAACCTAAGTGCTTCATTTTAATTAAAACAACCCAAGCACACACACAAAAAAACAACCCAGACCTTGCAGGATGAACATCGTTAGAGAGCTGCTATCAACATGAGGAGACGAAGGCACCCTGAAGCTGCTGGGTTGGGGGGTTCTGGTGCCACCATGTCACCCAGGGAGGGGTATTGACAGTCTCAGCACCTCCCCGCACCCCTGTCCGGGGTGAAGATGTAAGCCAAAGGGTTAAAAAGGAATGTGGGGGACATTTGGGGTCCCCACCTCATGCAGCCCCCTGCTCTGCCGCACCACCACGCTCAGGTGCAAAGAATGACCCAGTATCCATGGGGCTGAGCTCCGCCTGTCCTTCCTAAATTGGGGGAAATCTGGATATCAACAAAAAAAATCCCCTTCAAACCTATTTCAAGGGCTTTTTCAGGTTAGCCTGGAACTAGAGAGACCTCACAAAGCTTTTTCTGTCCTCTAGTGCCTCAATTCCCCCTCTCAGTTTCCCCTGTTTATTTGGGAATCATCTCTAGGGCCAGCAAGAGACCACTCCAGCCTGAAATGGGGCTTCTGCTACAGAGTGAAAACTGACAAAAAAAACCCTGTTGTGCCCGCAAAATGCCCTCGATGCTGCTGGCTGAGAGAACAGGAGCCCTCTTGGCCCGTGACATTGCATTTGGAAGGCCAGAGAGCTCGGCAAGCATCGCGCCTGCAGCCCAGCCCCGCAGCACTGCGTCTCGAAGCCAGCAAGCACGTGCCCTGCGCTGGATCCCAGCCCTGGTAACCCAGCGTGGGAGGACCTGCTGCTTGGGAAGATGACAAAGTTGAGCTGGATCCCGCATGACTGTGAGCATCCAGGGTTTTCAGCTCAAGGCAGCCTGGAAGCCTTGATAACAATTCACTCTGGAGATTATGAAACTCGATTTTTCCTCAGAACTTCTCCAAGAGCAAAGTTTCGATTCGCCAGTAGAAAAATCAAGATAAAAACAAGCGTATACTCACCGATCAACGGAATCTAAGGAACTCTGCTCAAGAGGGTGCTGCCCGGGTTTGGGTTAGGAGCAGGGTCAGCCCTGTGCCTGCATCCACGCTGGTCTTCGGGGCTGGTATCGCAGCCCACGGCTGGGCACCGAGCTCCTCTACCAGAGCTCGTCGGGTTCTCACGGCACGCACTGGGCTCAGCTTGCAGGGCCGTGGACCTTTATAAGCTGTTGTGAATCCAGGCCTTACTATTTTCCATAAAAATACAAGAAAAAAAAAAACAAAACTAACACGACAGTAAGTGTTACGGTAATTACAAAGAGGTTTTAACACATGTCTCAATTTGCATTAATTAAATCAACAGGGAAGCTTCAATTGAGTAAATTATTTTTTTAAATTTTTTTTTTCCTAAGCAGCAGCGAATGCTGCAGCAGGCTTGGAGCTGGTAACTCCCGTTTGCTGCATGGATGTGCGGCGGGATGGGGAGGGATCTGCCGGCTGGAAGGGGCTTCCCAGGAGGGAGGCAGCCGCAGGCAGGACGAGCTGGGGGTGGGGAGGATGAGAAGAAGACTCTCAGCTCTAATACACAAACAGCTCCAAGCCGGGTCTGTGCTGACACTGTCGGATTTCAGCCCCGAGTCCGGAGAGGGGAAAGCTTTGAAGCTGAAGCCGGTCGGAGAGCGGAGGTTGCTCTGCAGAGATAAGCCGTGGGTAAGAGGAATGCGTCCATTCATACCCCAGCCATGCTGCAAGCACAGCTGTGAGGGGAATATAAATGGGCAGCGTGGTGGGTTGGTTTTTTTTTTTATTTTTAAAGCCACCAGTTTGAATATTAAAGCAGATCAGACACATTGAAATGCTTGGCTGGAAGTGAACTCTTCCCAATGCACAACCCTCCAGGGCAGGGGACGACTGGGCTGTCAACCCCCCTCAACAGGGTTGGTGTTTCCTCCCTGCATCCCTGCGAAGCAAAATCCCTCTGTGGATAAAACACGGGGGATTTATGGATATAAACCCCGGCTAGTTCACATTCAGACCCAAACCTCTGCGTTGTACGGACACAGCAACCAAGAGCTGGTGGCGGTGGGCTGCTGTGGCAGATCACACACCAGGCTAATCCCTAAATCCTGCTTTTTGCCAGAAAACCTTCCAGTGTGGCACAGGCAAGACTGGAGCAGCCCAGGCCACCCCAAAAGGCTCTCCCCTCTTGTCGCTGGCCTAGGTGGGTGGGCAGGGAACAATGCCCTGCCCCTACCCGTGGCTGGCCTGGGAAATTCTGCCTCCAGCAGAGCTGTCCCAGCCCCTTCTGAGCTCTGAGGCCCTGTGAAGCAACCCGAGCGAGCTGTGATGAGGGAAAACACCTTCCTCTTGCACTACGCTGGGGATTTGTGCCACATCTTTTGTGCACGCTGCCTCTGGCCTCAAGGCTGGAGCATGTAATGGGGAGCTGGAGGAAATCGCTGCTTGCAAGGGGAGCCTGACTGCAGAGATGGCTCCGGGCTGGATTTTAAAGCAGATGCATCATGTCAGTGAAGTAGGAAAATGCTCAGAGAGGGTTCCTGCAGCACCACATCCCACAGAGAGCAGAAAGGGGCTGATGGAGCGGAGGAAAGAGGGTGTCTGCCCTGCCCAAGTGACCCCCGGGCTTTTTTGAAGTCTCCTCTTTCTTCTGGAGGGTTCAGAAAATTGGGCACGTGGTCGCGGGTGCAGAGGCCAGCTCTGGAGCAGGGACCAAAGGGATGCAGGGCCAAGCAGAAGGACATCTGCCCACTTCCCCGTTCCCCCAGCCCCACGGGCACTGGTGGTGGGAATAAGCAACTTTCTGTGAACCGAAGGGTTAATGAATGTCACTGTCACCCTCTGAGCACAGTCGGTTTCTGCCACCCCCTTCCCCGAAAGCCTTTACATAAGAGTCTTGCAGAATTTATAGCCTGCCTCAGCTGTGCCGGGCTGGAGCTGTGGCCGAGCTGCTCCCCTGGAGCTGCCAGCGCAGATCGCTGGCCGTGCTAATTCGGGGAGGAAAATGGGATTTGATTTCTGCACCAGTCACTGTCTCTCACTGTTAAAACAGGACCCGACGGGCTCTGTCTGCACCCCCCCAGCTCCCCCACACGATCCATTGCCTACATTGACCTTGAATGTTCCCCACGCACCCTCAGCATCGCATCAGAGTGATCCTGAGGCTCCCTGTGTTGTCACACCCCAGCCTGCTCCCAAGACTAGAAATGGTGTTTTAAATGTAAAACAATTCAAAAAAAGAAAAATCTGGAAGCCTCAAAAGCCACCGGGGGTCTTGTGGTCCTGTTCACATCAGTCCTTTGTGTCACTGGAGAGCAGAGGAGATATTGAAAGATGTTGTCCCCTGCTTCTGCGCAGTGCTGTACCTTCCCCCCGAGGCCATCCCAGAGCATCCTCAGCCCTAGGACTTGCCCCTGACTAAGAGGGGCCAGGGGGCCACCAGCGAGGTGAGGACGTGGCCATCATGGTGACACAAACAACTCGAGCACTGGAGGAGACGCTGTTTTTCCTTCCCCTTTCTTCCCCTAGGAGAAGGGCTTTGCTGGCACCCGTGTCACCCGCTGTCACTGGGTGAGGACTAGCAGGTGCCACCCAAACCCCCCCTCTCCTCCAGCTCAGCACCCCAGTAACTCCTGCCTCCACGCAGCTCCGGGCACTGTCGTCTGCAGCAGCTTCTCTCTGCGATGGCAGGAGGTGAGGCAAAGCCGGGGCCGCCGCTGCTGTCCCCCCACGTGTCCCCCAGCAAGAGTGTGGCGGTGGGACAATGCAAAAGCAGCTGCCGTGCCACCAGCCTGGATGTCCCCAGCAGCTGCCGAGGCGCCGTGTCCGGGGTCACCTCCTGCCTCTCCCACCGCAGCCCCAGCGAGGGCCCTGGCGACGGTCTCCGGTGGGGTAAATCCACGCAGTTCCGCTGGCTTCAGCCCTGCTTCGGGATGGCTGAGGATCAGACCCCCCCTAAAACGCACCCCTTGCTCTGGGGTCTACCCAGGAATGTGCTGGAGGTCATTCCAAAGCGCCTTATTCCCACGGCCAGCACGTGCCTGTTTGCAGCAGCGTCGCTCTTCACGCTGCCAAACCAGGCTGGGCTGTTTTCCTTCCATCCCCTGGGCAGATCTCAGTCCCCATTTCACATCCCGACACTGTTGGGGTGCTCAGCTCAGAGAGAATCCCAGCCAGGCTCTTGTTTAAAACCATTCTCTTTCTTTCTCTTCCCCCCAAATTTCAGGCGTGGCATCAGCAATCTGGCCAGCTTTCCAGGACGACAATAAGATTGTTGTTACCTTTGTGCTTGGAGCCCCGTGCCGCTGGTTCTTCTGGCCGTGGTTAAACTGCCCCCAACCCACCGCAAACGACCCCCCTGCCTCCTCCTGCCAGATGTGCCACAGCTGCAGCAGATCCAGTCAGGCCCAGCGAGGGATCGATGCCCACCCACCCCCTGTGCTCAAGCAGGGTGTCACCTCGGGCTCAAGTGACAGCCAACTCCATCTTTGTCCCCGGGGATTTTATTCCCTTGGCTCTGCAGCCCTCGTGGCAGGGAGGGGCTCTCCTGGCACGCTCCCCCAGCACCCCGGCCACCAGACGTCCTACGAGCACAGTCCCCAGGTTCTGCTCTGCCCACGGATCCTCCCGCCCTTGTTGGCTCCTGCACGGCTCATTCTGGACAAGAAGCAGCCGATTTCCTGGTACCCGGCTCCCACCAGCGACCCCGGAGCAGGCTACAGGTTGGAACGGCAGAACGGTGCTTCTGGAACAACAGACTCTCCGATGCCTTCGAGGAGCTGGTCCCACTGATCAAAATCCTCTTGCAGGTCTGCACGGGGCAGAGATGGTGATGGGGTTACTACAGAAATTATCTGCCTAGCTCCAGGGGTAAAGGTGAAGCAGCCACCAGACCCCTTTGCTTTGTGCAGAGGGATGGGAAGCACCAAACCCAAGCCCAGGGAGGCAGCGGCCCCCCCGCAGCCCCCTGCAAGCGCGGGAGCTCCCGTGCCCTCCCGAGCCCCCGAGCAATGCGCCCCCCACCCCGCGCCGTACGGAGATGCCTTTGCAGGAAGGCCAGAGCCGCCCGGCTGGTGATGTCCAGACCCTTGTAGGGGTCGAGGGTGCCCCTCGCGCTGAAGATGCGGTTGATGAGCTTCCCGGTGAGAAAGGTGAAGTCAGTCTGGCTCTGGTGCACAGATCCCCTGGGATAAGATAGGGAACTGCTTCAGTGGGAGCTGGGGAGAGATCCTCCTGCTGGGACACAGCCCGTAGGTGCTCCCAGGAGGGTACTGGTGGGTGGCTGTCCCCAGCCCCTGACTCACAGGATGGTTATAATCTTCGTCTGGCTGTTTCTGGAGCTCAACCTCTTCATTTTGGCAACACTTTCTGGAGTCTGGAACTTCTCGGTGTTGATGAAGAGCACGGGCTTGGGCACCTCTGGGTACAATGAGTTCTCCAGGGGGAACATCCAGGCGTCGAGAGCCACCGCACAGCTGCAGCAGGACAGACACCGGCGCTGCTTCCCAGACCACGGCTTCCCTTCCCACTGGGACGAGCCACGTGGCCCCGGAGCTTCCCCCGCTGCAGCTGACCTGAAACCGGGCTCTTTCACCAAGGCCAGCACTGCTGTCACCCCGCCGAAGGAATGGCCCATGACGGCGACTTTGGTCAGGTCGATGCTGTCCTGCAAAAAGGAGAAGGCTGAGGAGCCTGTGCTCAAAACTTGCTGCAGAAGATCCTAATTAGGGAATAAAAAGCCAAGGGAAGAAGATCAGCAAAGCCCCACTGCCCTGCCCTCCACAAGGGACATTGTGTCCTGTTTTGACCGCCGGTGCAAGGGCATCTGGCTTCCCCAGCATGCATGAGGGAGAAAAAGGAGAAGAGAAACACCAAGAAGCTGAGATGTAGAATGCACCAGGGAGAAAAAAAAAGATACACAGGGGAGAAAAAGGAGAAGAGGGGCACCAAGAAGCTGAAACATGGAAAGCTGTGGCTCTGCACAGCCCCTGCTTGTCCCTGGAGGAAAAGTCTCACACAACAAGGATTGATCCTGCCAGCAAAGGGCACCCGGACCCCCCCAACAGCCAAACGATCCCCTTGGCCGGTTGTTCTGCACGGACAGACCCAGATACCTTCAGCACGGAGAGATCAAAGTCCTGGTGAAGGACGTTCGGGACAGATTTACCGCTGCTGATGTCCTTGAAGAGCTGAAGCGCTCGAACACATTCCTCCGCTCTCTGATGAACCTGGGAGTGAGAGTTGCCCCTTCCCTGGTTAATCCAGCTCCTCCACCCTGCAAATCTGGGGCCAGATCCTCCCCCCAGCATCCACCCACACTCGTCCCTCCAAAACCGCAGCGCTTAGACCCGACGGGGCTTTCCCTGAATTACAGCAAACAAAAAAAATGAGTGAGAGGTTTAAACGCAGCGGCTCCTGCAGGGATGCAGTGAATTTATTGGAATGGTTTCTTTTCTTGTTTGTTTTTAATTCAGTTTATCTGATAGCACAGACAGCTGGAGATGAGCAGAAGACCTCTGCTCTGGGGAGGAGGCAGCGGGGTGTGCAGAGGAGGGAGAGACTGGTTTCCTCGCGAGCTGCCCCCCTCCCTGGACAAGCCTGCTGGAGCCATCCGCTGGTGTAAACACCCGTGGGGAGCCCAGAACCCCCGTCCCACCCCAGCTGACGGGAGCAAACCTGGACATCACCCTGAAACCCAGCCCGGGGGCTCCATCCAGGAGCGGCTCAAAAGCCCAAACGGCTGATTCAGGGGGGAGGAAGCCCTGACCTGGAGCCACTTTTGGACTAAATCCTTTGCTCCCCTAAAGACACAAATGCTGCTGGCCATGCACATTTAAAGACCTTCCCCCGAGGCGACAAGTGACAAAAAACTCAGATGAAAACCTCTCTCTGCTCCTCCCTGCTCCCTCCAACACAGAAGATGCTGTAACTGAGGCTGACCTGGCAACCATTTCCTTCTATTTATAATTTATTTGTCATTCATCCTCAACGTTTATGCTCGTGGGTTCATCTTTGTAGGAAAATTGTTTCCCTTGTTTGTGCAATGTGCCATGAGACAGAGCATACACAAAAATAAGAGGCTGGGAGGTGATTTAAGACTGCCAAAAGCACCTTCAACCACTACGTTTCCTAGAGAGCTTTTCTATGACAAATCTCGACTCGATGTTGTCCTTTTAAACAAGGCAGAAACAAGCAGAGGGGAACCAGGCTCAGCAGGAAAGCTTGCTCCCCAGCAAGCAGCTGTCTGGGATAATCCCGGGGAGACAAAAATCAAAACATGAACAAACCCAGCAGCCGGTCCGGAGCCCTGCCAGCCCGCGGCACTGGGCTGGGCAGAAAGCCCGTTTGTCCCCAGGGTGCGGATGACATTAAGCATCGAGGGGAACATGGCAAAGCCCAGCCCAACTCCTGCTGGGTGTCAGCTGGAGCTGGACAGAGGGAACCTCATGAAATGGAGATAAACAGGTTGAACAGATTTTTCTCCACTTGCAATGAAAAAGCTCAGTGCCAGCATCGTGGCAGTACGAGTTTGGGAGGGGGAGGAGATGAAGACCCCAGGGATGGAGGCCAGCTTGGCTTGCAGGAAGGATTTCACACCTCCCAGGTTGCCCACCCCTCACCCCCACCCCCCCAAACTCTGGTACCTGTTTGTTTCGGAAATAAAACTCCTTCTGCCCTTGGGGCACCCGTTGGTAGGGGATCCACTCCTCTCTCCCAGCCTCTGCCGGGCAGAAATATGTCACGGAGGCAGAATGGTCCCTGCAGAGGGAGGAGGGCAGGGAACCATGTCGTGGAGGTACGGGCAGCTCCCCGGGGCGCGATGCCCTGCCAGCCCCCGTCACGGCTGCCGAATTCGGTGGGTGCCGGGGCACCCACCTGTGCTCCAGTGCTGCCACCACGAAGCCCCAGGACGCCAGCTCCGAGCAGACCGAGGAGTACAGGGTCCTGCAAGGGAGCCAGGGAGGGGGAGCGGGGTCAGGGCGGTGCTGCCAACACAAGGCAGGCTCTGAGCGGGGCCACGGGGGGCCTGGGACACCCACACCCCCATCCCAGCTCTGGCCCTGAGCAGGGGCTCAGCACCCCCAGCCCCGCTCAGGGCTCATCCTACCGAAAGGCTCCCAGGCCGTGGGAGAAGATGATCAGTGGGTACCCGCTGCTGCAGGGCTTGAACGGCCCCTTCCAGCTCACCGGCACTCTGCAGGAGCCTGCGGGGAAGAGAAACCCCCCCCGGGAAAAGGGGGGACACGGGCAGCGGGGTGCTGCTGCCACGGCAGGTCCCTGCTCAGCTCCATCCCTGCCTGTAGCACCCACCCAGCTGCCCCAAGCGCAGGGCTTGGCGGCCTTGAACCCCGCTCAGGGTCCCTGAGGACTCGGGGGAGCACCCAGGATGGGGGACGTGGTGCTGCCACCCCCTCACCGATGGCGACGCTGAGCAGGGGCGCGCACCAGCGGCGGCTGCGGAGGGCGAAGTCGGCCAGCCCGGCACAGTACTCGTAGCGCGGGATCCAGAGCGGCTGCTCGGCCCCTGCCCGGTGCAGGCAGGGGTAGAAGAGCCGGAGAAAGATCCCCTGAGGGAGGAAGGGGACAGGGGGGACACTTTGGGGACAGCACAGAGCAGCAGCAGCCATGTCCTCGGTGAGTTCAGCTCTTGCAAAACCCAGCTGGCTGCAGCCATCCTGCTGTGTGGGGAAGCCTGTCCCTGTCCCCATCCCTGTCCCTGTCCCCATCCCTGTCC